GTGGTATCTTTGTGGATGTTATTGCAAGACTATTACCCCATAAATATTAGTTGGCGTTGACAATATAATAGTGGTTTTCTTAATAGCTTGACGATTAATCAATTGATTATGATGTGTAAAACTTTCATGTGATTGGTTGTTTGTTTGAAGGCAAGGCCTTGGAGTCTCTTATACTGATTGTAATTGGTTAAGGAGTGACAAGAAATAAAGAGTGATTTAATGCTGTCTCGTGTGAAAACCAGGGACTTAGCAGAGAATCGTTTGGAACATGAATGGCGCTTGTGTGTGTTTCTTGTGAGTCTAGCGTGGAAAACGACCGAATCCCGGTTACCTAAGTGAAAGGTTTTTAACATCAAAAATACCTATCACATTACACCTCAAGATAGAAAATTGGCAGTGATTTTGTCGTGTTTATTCAATTTCTCTGCACTGCCCTTGTACTTGAAGTAGATGTAAGTTCATTTACCCGTGTCTCAGTCTCAACAGGTTTTATCGTGCAACTTGAACAATCACAGCGATATAACAGTTTCACGAGTTGTGGTAAGACATTATACATTACTAAATAAGTTGTGCGAATAATTCCATAGTGCGTTTGGTGGTGGTGGTGGTGGTGGTGGTGGTGGTGGTGGTGTATTGGTGTCAAGACTTGATGGCCCTTGATGTTTTAGTGACTCACAATAAAGTTTTACGATTGTCGGGCTGCTCAAACTTTTAGTCAATACTTAATGCGTTGCTACTGCTTATGCCAGTATAAATCACTGGTCTATTTACTGCCAGGTACACTGGCGAATCCAGAAATTCGGTAAGGGCGGCGCGCGCTCCCATTCCGGCTGATCTGCACTGGCTCGGAAGATGAATTCTGATTGGCTAAAAAAACAAAAAAACTTGTGGCGTTGAATGCACGTTCATTGTCAGTATTGTTATGCAAATTCAAACTAGCTAATCATTTACAACCTTCCGAGCCAGTGCAGATTAGCCCTCCCATTAACGTGGTCGAAGTAGACCTCCGGTGGTTTGGGTTTGTCAATTATTTGTTTTGCGGGCTGAGGCTGAGGGAGAGGGAGAGGGAGAGGGCTCGCGTCTTGCCCTAAATCCTTGCGTGAGGTATGTGTTACCTGCAAACTAATATAAACTTCTTAGCGAGAGTTGTACAATCATTCGTACAAATATTGGAAGGACTTTCATGTTTTTCATTAAAACACACTGTTGTAATTAAAAACATGTGTATTATATACACATATGGAACCAAGATAATCAAAGACCAGATTCAAAACTAAGAACTTATACATTACTGAAGAAAAATATAAATACTGAACCATACATTAAAATCCTTGATAATAAAGAAAACATTGGTCTATTAGCAAAATTGAGACTAAGTG